AAATTTATCAGAATACCCATGAGAGATGCACTATTAGCATTTTACACTTTTGACATTATTTCAACTCATGATCGTGAACTTTTTATCGGTGTTTTAATAATTTTTCCTAATTTTATTGTATAAAATAAAATTATATTTTAAATTTATATACAGAAACCTCTGATTATTATGTTTTATTTATTATTTTTTGAAATTATTTTATTATTTATGTATATATTATTTATTATAAAAATTTGTATTAACGTGTTAGGGCCGTATTGGGTTTTTAGGTTGACACCCTCAACACCTCAGATATGTACTAGACATGACAACTGGTTGGTGCCCATGCAACACTACGTATATGATAATTTTTTTATGTTTTGTACTACAATAAATGCTTTCAATAAATGCTACTTTTTTGGGAATTCTGGTGAATCACTTAATTTATTGTTTATTTCCTTTACACCAACACATGCGTTGTTGGAGTGGGCATTTATGTCCTAAGATACACTTTAGCTATTAGCTATTAGCTATTATTATAATAATTGTTGAAAAATAAAGTATAAGTGTAGATGAGGATGTCATGGATTCAAAACCCATGAACGTGAATGGTATGTTATATATATCAAATGTGATATTGTTTCTATTTGAGACATGTTTTATAAGCTGTTGACATGCCTTGTCGGCCTAGAATTTGTCAGACATGTATGGACCAGGTGTCTGCCCCTTATCTGGTTGTGTCGATATGATCAGTGTCGACACATGACGCAAGAAGAAAACTGAAGTGTCGGGGTAACGCTGACTTTAGTACATGACTTATGTATGCTACATGAGTCATATGAGGCACTAACTGTAGAAACGAAAAGCAATCCACGAAAACTAGAAGAAGAAACAAACACAAAAGAAAGAGACAACCAACCACAACGCAATGATATATGTAGTTAGGCAACGTGCCTACGTCCACGGGAGTTGAGAACTTCTTTACTGGCAATGGAGAATAGGGTTACAAAAGCTCTCTTCCTCACGCCTCTCTGATTACAAAGTAATTTGTGTTTTTCCCTTAATCCTTGATGAACCCCCAATCGCACCAATATATATCGAGTCTCAGATAGATGGTACAAATTACCGAAATACCCTTATACGGATATATATTAAATCCCAAATATATCGAATCCCATGTACAAGAGCCTTCGGCCCTCCGGAGTTGTCTTTTTTACTCCACCTTGGCAGATCTATTTCCTCAGAATACAAGACATCAATCCTCAACACTAACCATCTGAGACATGAGAATGGTATCGATCATTTTTGTAACCTAACCTTTTGATTTGGCCTTGTTACTTTAGTTTCACTAGTGATGAGCATTTAGCCTATCTGGTATTGATGACCACACGTTATAGCTTCATCCACAATCTTTAAATTTAAGTCCCCTTAATCAGTCATTCAAGGTGTTGATAGCCATAGAAGATCGACCATTGATGAAAGACTCATGTTTCTTTGTGACATGCAGTCAAGCAATTCGATTGGGATACGTATTGCATCAAACGTCAAATTAGTAACTTAATTATTACTGATGCATCACATCCAATGGATTCATTAGAAAAAGGTTCTCACCGGAGCATTTATGCTATTTTTGTGTAGTGTTCCTATTATAGAAACTTATTATGTATGGTGCATTCTAAACATGTGCTTATGGTATTTTGAGGTGATGCAAAACCCCTGCATGCACCCATAAGTTTTGCATGCTCTTTTTCTCCATTCAAATATGAAACCTTAAAATGCAAAAGATGAAAGCATTTGATATTTTGATCTTATGTACTTGTACAAGTATATGTAAAGCAATTGGTCTGAAGTAGTTGTTTGGTGATGATTTTATTGCACGCCCTGCTTGCAGTATTTGAGGGATCTCAAGCAGGAATTCAATTGTTCTTCTTCTAATTCAGGAAGAGGAGGGAAAGAAACCATTTCAAAGAATCGTAAAGAGAGCATGCTGATACTATGAGATGGGCTGTTTCAAAGAACTATTAATCACAGCATCCTGTGACAATTGGGAATCAGATAAACCCTATTAAACAGTGGATACAATGCATAGAAGGAAGGAATTAAACAAGATGGCTGCCAGAGGATTCCCACAACAAAAGAGCTCTTCGGATCACTATTTAAATTTATCTGGGGAATTACTTTTACATAAGCCATTCCCAAATGTCCTGCCTGTGCAGTGGTGCCATGTTGTCTCAAAAGAAACGTGTGAACAAGACCCATTTCATTCATTGACAAGTGGTAACACATTTTCCTGTGCTTTTCCTAAACTAGTATTGGTTCCATGATGGCATGATCACATAGCAGCTGTTCTTTTGTCATTCCGTGCCATGTTACTTGGGAGGAGACTCCTTAACCTTATGGAGAAATGCATTACCATGGCACAACTGAAGCAAGCCCGTGCACAGTATTGGTAACACATTTCCCTGTGCTTTTCCTAAACTAGTATTGGTTCCATGATGGCATGATCACATAGCAGCTGTTCTTGTGTCATTCCATGCCATGTTACTTGGGAGGAGACTCCTTAACCTTCTGGAGAAATGCATTACCATGGCACAACTGAAGCAAGCCCATGCACAGTTTATCACTGGAGGGCTTGGAGTCCATGATTATGTACTCAGTAGGCTCGTAGCCTTCTGCTCAAACCCAAATCGAGGGAGCCTCAACTATGCATGCCTTCTCTTTGACCAGATTGAGAACCGACCGATTTGCATCTGGAACACCATGCTTAAAGCCTTACTAAACAATGGAGCACTCCGGGAAACCATGAAAATCTATCATAGAATGCTGCAGGCTAATGTGATACCTGATAATTACACGCTTCCGTATGTGTTGAAGGCATGTGCCCATATGTGTGACCATGAATTTGGAGAAGAGGCCCATGACAATGCTTTGAAACTAGGGTTTGGCTCTGACCCATATGTTGCTAATACTTTGATCCTCATGTACATGGCATGTGGGAGAACTGATTCAGCCATCAAAGTCTTTAATTGTAGCCCAACAAAGACATTAGTTTCTTGGACTGTTATGGTTTCAGGCTATGCAAAGCAAGGGGATGTGGACTCTGCATGGTCTATGTTTGAAGGAGCTCCTGTGAGAGATCTGAAATTATGGGGTGCTATGGTTGCTTGTTATGCACAAAACAATTGTTCCAAGGAGGCCCTGCAACTGTTTCGACTAATGCAGGCAGAGGGCATAAAGCCCGATGAGGCCATCTTGGGGAGTGTTCTCACTGCATGTGCCCAACTTGGTGCTCTAGATTTGGGAAGATGGGTTCATAAATATGCGAATATCCACTGGGGAATGGATCTAAGCATCAAATTAAGCACTGCACTGGTTGATATGTATGCAAAATGTGGGTCTTTAAAGGAGTCAAAACAGCTATTTGATAAGATGTCTCAAAGGGATGTAGTTTCTTGGAATGTGATGATTGGTGGGCTTGCGATGCATGGGGATGGGTATGGAGCATTTGCTCTCTTTACCAAGATGCAACAAATGGGTTTTTCCCCCAACGATCTCACATTCATTGCTCTTTTTACCGCTTGTAGCCATTCAGGCTTAGTAGAAGAAGGGCGCGAGCTCTTTGAGAAAATGAGCATAGTCTATGGTATCAAACCACAGCATGAGCACTATGCATGCGTTGTGGATTTCTTGAGTAGAGCAGGGCGTTTCCAAGAGGCAAAAGAGATGCTAAAAAGAATGCATGGGCCTGAAGAAGCAATTGCATGGAGGGCTATGCTTAGTGCCTCAAGGAATCATAGGGACATTGGATTTTCTGAACTAGCAAGAAATCATCTCTTACAATTGGAGCCTCATAGTGGGGTTTATTCCCTCCTCTCAAACATTTATGCGGCTGCTGGAAAATGGTATCTTTCTGGGAAAACAATGACAATGATGAAGGAAAATGGGGTCTCTAAAACACCCGGCAGTAGCTCTATTGAGGTGAATGGGTTTGTGCATGAGTTTGTTGCAGGAGAGAGAAAACACCCTCTTGCCAAAGAGATACGCAAGATGTGGGAGGAGATAAATCGACAGCTGAGATTGGAGGGATACAAGCCAGACATATCGGGCTCGGCATTTGATGTGGATGAGGAGGAGAAAGAGAGTTTGGTGAGTGAGCATAGTGAGAAGTTGGCCATTGCTTTTGGATTTATGAGCCATGGTCCAAATGTACCTATCAGAGTGATAAAGAACCTAAGGGTCTGTGGAGATTGCCACTCTGTTACAAAGCTCGTAAGTAAGGTTTTTGGGCGTGAAATCATTGTTAGGGATCGGATTCGCTTCCACCATTTTAATGGGGGGTCTTGCTCTTGCATGGATTACTGGTGATCAACAAGTGTTTGCAAGAATAAGAACTGCAGGCTAATCTCTCAGCATGAAGAAGACATCTAGGCACATGCTTAAATTTAGATGTATAAACCTATGCAGGTGTGCAAACCATCTCTCTTTCTCTCTTTCTCTCTCTCTCTCTCTCTCT